TTAAAAACTGTTGTTCTTTTGAGGCCCTCAAGGTGGCGCTCACGGTCCATAGGTTAAGAATCTCTGGTTTAAGTATTATTGAACTATTTAATGTGTAATTTAATTACACATTATTTTATAACTGTCATAGTAAAACAGAGTGTCTTCAGTCAGAGGCTTCTTAAGTCTCGTAATACAGACGCTACAGAAGAACTTTCCTGCCACAGCCATCAGCCTCTACAATAACTCTTTAGTTAAATGAGTTACAACAACTTGGATCAATAAAGTATTTTTGAATTGAATTGAATTTAGAAAAAGAAAACAGAATAACTTATTATTAATAAGCTTCGGAGAAGAGGGGGATAAATAAGTTTGTACTTCTTCCCATATCTTTTGAAATGTGTTTCATTTTATCTTGTACGCGCTTACCATTTAAATGAACAAGAAAGCAGAGGAATGCATTGCAAATGGTGGCACCTATTGTTCTCCACCTCAAAAAAGGATTTATTTATACCTTTATATATTTTTATAGTCGTATCTTATGCAGCCCAAATAACAACATGCACCCCTACAAATTTTATCTCAAAACGACCGGCTCGGTGGTGGGATGGGTACTATTACTTGTAGTGGTGTTTCTAATAACCATGGGAAATACTACCATCAAAAGATCTCATATAAATTTGTCTGACAAATCATTTACAGTCGTCTCGTTCAGCTCGGTACTTCTCTCCTCTCAGTAGGGTTGTTTACAGYACACGATTTCCRKTTAGCTTCTTAGCTTAGCCTCCTTCACAGTGGAGCTGGCACGCATACGTCGCGGCCATCCGATCAAATCCAACACCCAATTGGAGCAGTGTGCAGCTACTGTATGTAGGCACCCGTTCACTGTCCTGCTCAAGGACACCACGACATGTGGGCATGGTGAGGAGTCAAACTTGTGACTTTCTGGTCCCAAGTCAGCTGCCCTACCACTGCACCACCACAGCCACCCCACAAAAAAGGCTGCTTTTAACTTGTCAGGGGGTGGGGGGTGCTTTATGTCAGATATTTAACATAAAGTGCTTTAAAAATATGAAAATGTACATGGGTAAGAACTAGGGATGCAAGTTATTGATTAATGAATAAATCTAAAGTTGACTGATTTTATCAATCGACAATTGRTAAGCAGCCATTTTTTAAAAAAACCTGATGTTTCGCTCAAACCAAGGGTCTTTCTATAGCCTGGTAAAAACCAGACCCTCGCTTTGCTTCATACAAGGGTCTGGACTCTCAGCTATAGGGATATGATTGCTTGTTGGAGGCGTGGCCTCTGCTGAAGTTTAAAATGATTGGATCTGATTTACCTTTGTGAATTCTTTATTCCTTGATTTTTTTTTCAGATCAACTTGAATTCACTGACTAAAGTCTGACTTATTTATGTGGTCTCATGTTTACACAGAAAGATGGTTTATTTCCTTAAACAGAAGAACTCGTGAATGTCCTTATAACAGTTCGTTATGAGAAGTGTAGGTGTACTAATCACTACATTTTTGATCAGGACATGTCTTTTAACCCCCACATTAAAAATGTTACCAGGACCGCCTTCTTCCATCTGTGTAATATCACTAAAATTAGAAACATTTTGTCCAAAAATGATGCAGAAAAACTGATTCATGCATTTATCATGTCTAGACTGGATTACTGTAATTCGTTATTATCTGGGTCCAAAAACCTCTTTAAGAAGTCTTCAGTTAATCCAAAATGCTGCTGCTAGAGTTTTAATGA